GTTGGCGGATTGGAAAGGCTTCTGTGGTGTTACATGGACTCTGTGCTGCAGTAGAGGCTGGGAGGTGGGCCGGGCCAGATTGCTCAGCATCAGAATGCCAGGAGGAAGCATTTATACTTCTTTTGGGCAATGGCCTCCAGCAACAAACGGCCTGTAAACACATCTGCTCTTGGGAAGCACTGACCAGATCAGGGTACTATAGTAAAGGTGGATGGCAGGGGTGAGAAGGAAGCAGAGAGGCGGTGAGGAGCCTGCCGGAGTGGTCCAAGTGGGGAGCAAAAGAGAGCCCCGCGTGCTGACAGTCTGGTGGAACGGTCATGGTGATAGCAAAAGGTATGCAGGGAGTGGAGGTGGGGGGGGGGGGGTGGCTATAGGACTTTGAGGCTGACAAATGCAGAGGATGGGGCAAAGGAGGACCCAAGGACAAATGCAGGGTTCCCAGGCTGGATGGCATCACAGCCAAGGTCCTGTTAGGCAAATAAGGAAGTCATTAAACGCTGGTTTGAGTGAGGTGGGGAAAGAAAACGGCTTTGTATAGACAGACAGAGGGACCCACAGGCTGTGGGAAATGCAGGTCCAGAATCAAGGCCAGGAATGGAGATTTGACAGTCATTCACGGAGTCATCATGTCCTCAAATAGCTACCACTTACTGGACACCTACTATGTGCCAGGTGCTATATGAAATAGTTTAATCCTCGCAACAAGCTACAGCATCAGCAGGATTAGCCTCATTTGACAGATAAGAAAACTGAGAGTCAGAGATGTTTAGAAACTTGTCCAAGATCAACCAGCGGGAAGGAGGTAGATTTAGGACTGGGTATTTCCCCTATGGATTGCTCATCAACCCATTAGAGTGAATTATGACAGTGACAAGGTTCTCAGACAAGAAGGAAGAAGCTATTAGCCTGTGGAACATCTTTAGAGTTGCCACAAAGGCTCTGCCTGACATAGGTACCCTCTCAATTAGTTGTTAATTATCAGCTACCAGGGGCTGCTCTAATGACTTCCAACATGGAAGTCGTGGATGATGTCCAGAAGTGCTTGGGAAAATAACATGAATGTGTCTGGGGAATGGAAGTTGTCACGTGTATGACTTGTAACTAGCATACTTGGGGATTTTCTGGTGAGAATATAGGATTAAAGAGCTGCGTGGAGACAGGAAAACCAAGATAGACTGGGCCATGAGAGCTGAGAACAGAGTTTCAAGGTGATAAAGATGTCAAGAGCTGTAGAAAGGAAGGAGGGGCAAGCTTGAGGATGGGCCATTGGATGTAGTGATTAAGGGTCATTGGTGACCTTCCTGAGAGTCATTTTAGAAGACTGGTAGGAGAGGCAGACTGTGAGGGGTCAGGGCCTGCGGGGGTGGATTGGCAGGTGGGTGTTTGCTCATGGAGTGAGGCAGAGGGTGTAGACGAGTCCTCCAAGAAGTTTGGTGGGAACAGAAAGAGATTGGGCTAGTGGGCCAGAGCAGGGAAGCCAAGCAGAGTTGTGTCTCGGCCTGGGGAGATCTGAGAGGGCCTGTAGGCTGTGGAAAGGGGCCAATGTTGGCATGGAGGTTGGAAACGCAAGTAAAAGAGAGACTAGAGGATGAAGGAAACTTACAAAGGAGGCAAGAGAGGGTAAGATCATCAGCTCCAGGAGAGGAAAATTACAGGTGAGATTAGGAAGGTCTTTAAGAGTCACAAAGGTAACTTTGGAAGTAGTTCTTTATCTAATAAGTATTCCTTGAAGGCCTACTCTGTGCTGTGCACTCTCCAAGCACCGGGGATAAAGCAGTGAACATGTCAGGCAAAGTCTCTGCTTCGTGGGGCTTACCTTCCAGTGGAGGACTTGATGGAACAGATTTAAGAATTTAAAAGCTGGCTTTCTTCTCTGCTTGGGTGAAGCAAGGATGTGGGCTGGTAGAAGAGGTCTCCTTGGGTTGTCTTAGCCAGCCTTCTGCCTCCAAACAGGATGATACTATGCCAGGGGGATGGACCTCTTTATCGTTTTGGAGACATCTCAGGCAGTGGGATTTCATACCTTCCCTCTGTTGCCGAAAGCATCTCATAACCTATAAAGAATGCTCTTGGGCCCAGGATTTCCCTATAAGTATAAATAGGCCAGGTAGGAAGGAGATGTGAATTCCTGCGCAGTGTCAGTTTCTCATGGTGGCTGGGGAGGGGTAAAAGGGAGATAGAAATGGAGAGAGAAGGAGGCAGTGAAGTGGTCAGTTCCCCTCACTCTACACTTCCTGTTGAGGACTTTCCCGCCTGAGCCAAGGCCAATCTCCATTCCAGCCTCAGGGAACCTGCCGGAGTCCCGCAGGGAGAACCAGTGGAGCTACAGTGCCCTATCCCTTCTGGGGTGACTTCTGCAAAAGCAGGAACAGAATGCCTCAGGGGTAGACATCTGTTTCTCCGGAGCTCCTGGGTACACGAGGGTGTTTCTGGATAGAGACCCCGTAGGCAAATGTCCAAATGGTGTGGCAGGCAGAACTCTCAGAGGGCTCCCAAGATGCCTGCCCCTTTGTGTGTGCACACTGCAAGATCCCCCCACCTCCAGATGTGGGCGGGACTAGAGACTAGAGGGGACATTGCTCCTATGATTAGGTCACCAATCAGTCAATGCTGCATCAAGCAAAAGGGCAACCAGCCTGGGGGCCTGAACTAATCAGGTGAACCCTTTAAAAGAAGGTGAAGCATCAGAGAGACGCTCTCCTGTCAGTCTTGAAGGGACAAATAACCACGTTGTGAAGATGCCATCTGGCCGAGGGTCTGGTAACTGAGGTCCCCAGTCTTATAATCTCAAGGAGCTGAATTCTGCCAACAACAGTGAGCTTGGAAGAAGACCCTGAGCCTTCACATGAGACTGACACCCCGATTTCAGCCTGGTGAGATCCTGAGGAGAGAACCCAGTTGAGATATGCCCAGGCTGCTGACCTGTAGAACTGTGAGGAAACACATGCAGGTTCTTCTAAGCCGCTAAATTTGTGGTAATTTGTTCTGCAGCAGTAAATAACAAATACACTTGGTATGATTCTTGAAAGCAGCCTGAAGGCCTATGGTATGAGGATCATGGGGACCAGGAGAACTTCCTGCCTTCTGCTTAAGGCCTTGTACCTTGTGAAATGAAAATATTCTGGAAGGAGTCACATAGGAAGCCTTTTTGGCCATTCAAACTTTAATATGAATAAGTTCCCCAACTATCTTTGGAGAGGAGGGTTGGATGTGGGGAGAGAAAGCACTAGCTTTGAGGATGGGGAAGGGCGCTGAAAGGCAAGACTAAGAGAGCTGAAGACAAGATTGAGGACATCCCATTTTACCTGGGACTGTCCCTGGGGATGCGGATTGTATCTGTGCCATCTCCTGGGCTAGGAGGGTACCTCTGCTGGTCCAGCTGTGGGGCACCCACAGGGAGGGAGCAGAGGGCATTGCTGGGGTTGTGGGGAGGCAGCCACTCCAGCTGTGGTCCCTGGTGGGTAGGGTGGAGCAGAGAGCAGAGTGGAGGTTCCCTGTGTTGGAGAATGAAATTGGGCCCATCTGTACCCCTCCCCACTCATGACCCCGGGGGAACATGAGCAATGATGTTGTTCTTGGCTCAAATTGTTCATCTCAGCCCAGCCATCCTGATTCTTAGTTCAGGAATGACACTGTATGTCAGTGCAGAGTATGGCTGTGAACAGGACACAATTTCAGGGCCCAGGAACACTTCCTCATTTCCCAAACTTCCCTGAGGACGATTGGAGCCCACAGCGCTACCGCTATGTCCATCCCCTTACCATAGGCCTCATCTGTTATCTAAATACAAAAACCTCCAGGAAGGGGCATTGTGAAATGTTATTGGTTATTCACACCACACCTCAGGGAGAATGTCTTTCTAGTCCTTTCCTGAGAGGTATTGATAAGGGAGAAAAAGTGAGAGCACAGCAACCCAAAGAGGAGAAAAGACCACAGACAGGGAGACAGACTGAGAGGAGGTGAGTAAGGGCCTTGAAGACAAACTGGCACCACATCCTGAGTTCAGACCCGCCCAGATGAGGTAACATGCCCTCCCGTCCCCCGCCCCAGCCAGCCCCCCAAGCCCTGCCCTGGTTGTACAGCTCCCATTGTTGAGAACAGAGGGCACTCGAATTGTGGAGCATGGCAGCCTAGAGGGGCTCCTGCTCTTGACACAGCCATCCATCACCCATCCACCTTTTTATTAAATTCACATTTATTGAGCACCTACCCTGTGCCAGCCCCTGGGCTGGGTACCGGGAACACAGAGATGATAAAGCCCCCGGGAACTACCCCAAAGCAGTGACACGAATGCTGAGAGGCAACACAGGTGAACGGAATAGCAACAACTTCTTAAGCATTTTTTATCATTTTTAAATGTACACGACAGTAGAAAGAATAGTGTAATAAAGTCCCATATAACCATCACCCAGCTCCAACTATTTTTTAAAAATTATTTTATTGAGGTCCCATTGGCTTATAACATTGTGTAAATTTCAAGTGTACATTATTATATTTCAGTTTCTGTAGTAAGCTGCGACGTGTTCACCACCAATAGTCGTTTCCACCCATCCAACTATTTTATCAATATTGTTTCATACAACCCTTCCACTTTTTTTGACAGAGTATTTCAATACAAATTCAAGATATCGCGCATTTCATCCGTAACTACGTCCGTATGCGTCTCTGATACGAACATTCTAAAGTCGCCCCCACAGCAGCAATATCTGACCACCATCAGCAGCACCTGTCTCCCCTGCCCTGAGGCCTTACCAAGCCCGCAATCCAATCCCACATCCCACATCCCACACCCCACACCTCTGGGGGTCTTGCCAAGGACCTGGTATCTCAGGCCTTGACAGGCTAGGAGTGTTCGACTCGAGCCCCTCAGTGCCCCCCAACCCCCAGCTGTGCGTTCCTCGGCGCTGCCGGGCAGCCACCAGCACCGCCTTTCGCCTTTCGGAGGAGCTGTATAGCACGCCTTCCGTAACCGCGCTTCCTCCTCTCCGTCCTCCTTGCAGATTGAAATGCTAGAACACAAGTACGGAGGCCACCTGGTGTCCCGGCGCGCCGCTTGCACCATCCAAACCGCCTTCCGCCAGTACCAGCTCAGCAAGAACTTCGAGAAGATCCGCAACTCGCTGCTGGAGAGCCGCCTGCCGCGGCGGATCTCCCTGCGCAAGGTGCGGGCGCCCACGGCCGAGAGCCTGGCGGCCGAGAAGGCGCTCATGGAGGGCTACGGCCTCATGGGGCTGCCGCTGGTGCGCTCGCCCTCCCTGCCGCCCACCTTCGCGGGCACGCTCACCGAGCTGGAGGACTCCTTCACCGAGCAGGTGCAGTCCCTGGCCAAGTCCATCGACGACGCCCTCAGCACCTGGAGCCTCAAAACCATGTGCTCCCTGCAGGAGAGCGGCGCTTACCAGATCCACCAGGCCCTGCACGCGGGCGCCGGGCCTCCAGGCCTGGAGGAGCTGCGGGAGACCGACAGTGCCCACCCGGGGCCCGGGGAAGAGGCCACCGAGGCCGCCGGCCTGCCCCAGGGCCACAGCAGCACCCTCATGATGGCTTTCCGAGATGTCACCGTGCAGATCGCCAACCAGAACATCTCTGTCTCCTCCTCCACGGCTCTGTCGGTGGCCAACTGTCTGGGCGCCCAGACGGCCCAGACCCCAGCAGAGTCCACCAGCGGCAAAGCCGAGCCAGGCGATGCCCGGGGACAGGAGGCCCCGGGGGCCACCACCGCGGGGGAGGGGGACGCGTCCGCCGAGAACACGTGCGCAGAGGCCGGAGCTGACGGGGTCCTGCGAGCCAACCGACCTGGGCCGGCAGAGGTGGTGGTGGAGGAGGCGGCGCCCGAGGCCGCGGAGGCAGAGGAGGCCGAGGAGGAAGAGGAGGCAGGGGAGGCGGGGAAAGCGGCCGAGGCTGAGGCCGGCGACCATTTAGAGCAGCTGAGCAGCAGCAGCACGTCCACCAAGTCCGCCAAGTCGGGCTCGGAAGTGTCAGCCTCGGCCTCCAAGGAAGCCCTGCAGGCCATGATCCTGAGCCTGCCGCGCTACCACTGCGAGAACCCGGCCAGCTGCAAGTCGCCCACGCTCTCCACCGACACGCTGCGCAAGCGGCTCTACCGCATCGGCCTCAACCTCTTCAATATGTAAGTGTCCTGGCTCCAGAGCTCCACGGAGTCCTGGGGAGGCCCCCGGGGGAAGGGAAGAAGAGGGGGGACTCGCAGTTACAGGTGAGCGCGGTGCCAGGGAATTGGCCACGTGATCCCAGTGTCCTCCCGGTGCGCCTGCTCCTTGAGATACTGTGTACGAATACACGTTTCAGTTGTAACCGTTTATTTAAAGAAGGTTTAGGGACCAAATAACACTTCAAATCCATGCTTTCACCACTATTGCTGCTTAAGATGAATCTAGGTTTGAAAAGTGAGAAAATTTACAAGAAAATACAGTATTAAGTAAATAATAGTACAGGTAGTATGAGGATTGAGCAGAAATCATTCAGGTGGGATATGACATGAGGGAAACAGCAATCTCATGGGGTTGATGAAGAGGAGAGAGGAGACAGTGAGTGAGGGAGAAAATGAAGAAAGGGAAATGAGGGCCTGGGGTGGGGGAGGGGGAGCAGAGAGTGTAAGGAATACAAGTAGAAAGCAGGAGAGGGCAGGATGAACCCGGGACGGTGACAAGGAGGAGAGTGTGGAGCAAGTGGAGGAGGAGTAGAAAGAGAACAGGGGAAGGGAAGGAGAGAAAGGAGCACTGCCATGGCTCCGAGCTCCCAGCCAGAGCCCCCAGCCAGACCTTTCCTTGCAACCAGAATGTATACAGCTGGTGGCAAGCAGAGGAAACACACCTGCCCCTCCGGGGGAAGTCTCAAGTAGATGAGGCACTCATCTCCACCCTCCACTCACCCTTTCCTTCAGAGCCCTGAGCCAGGAAACACAACATCCCTCCCTCCCGCCCAAGGGTACTGTCATTTATTCATTCAGCTGTTGTTTATTGAGTGGGAGGCACCTGTGACCATAAAGATGAGTAAGACACATTCCCTGGCCTCAAGAAGCTTATATTCTAGCATAGCTACTGTTCATAAAGCATCTGCAATCTTCCCAGCAGTATCTAGAGACAGCATTATTATGCCGTTCTACAGAAGAGGAAATAGGCTCACACCAGGAGGGTGAGTTGCTTACATTGAAACAGCTAGCAGGTGCCAGACTTAGGTGAAGCTAGATCTGACTCCCAGGCCATTGCTCTTTCTTCTACATCAGGCTGCCACCCTGGTGAGCACAGCCCCTACCCTGACACATCCAGGCATCACTTCGACATGCACACAAATGCTCACACAGATACTCGGAGCCCCCAAGACGGTGGTTCTTAAACTATCTGTAGTGAAGGACCAGCTTGGGTTTTTACCCAACACGCTGTGGGCTGCTACTTTTGTAAAACACCATACAACTGAATTGCTAGAAAAACAATCACATGCTTAGTTGTCCTGAAAATGTCAAAATGCTATAAAAGATTCTAAATACTTACCTTCTATTTCTGTACTTAGCTCCTCCTGGACAGTAAGAAACAGTTCAGGGAGCAGCCTGGATTCTCAGACCACACTGCAGGCACATTAGCCTTAGGACACAGCACCCATGCGACAGCCACACCCACACACAAAGATTCAAGCCTGAGAAGGAAATGCTGGCAAGCAGGATTCTTGTGTCCACCATTGACAAGGAAGAGGGGGTGTGGTGGAAATCTCACCTCTGTGTCCCAGTTTCACCCTCTCTCCAGATTCTGGGGTGCGTATAGATAACAGGATACAGGCAAGGAGGAAGGGCCTTCTTGGCTGGCCTGGGGACCTCAGGGTAAGGTCCAGTGGGAGTGAGGCGGGAAGAGGGAAGACATACCTCCCCACCTGCTCTGGAATTCACTTTGCTTGGCCGGAGCCCACCTTCCCGCTTCCACTGCTCACTCTCTTCACTCCCATGTGGGGAGATTCAGGAGAGTGAGGCTCTGGTGAGAGGCGCTTCCAATGGGGAGCCCCTCTGCAGCAGAAGGAATCCTGCCATTTCCTGGAAAGTCTTTACAAAGACCTCCAGGCACTTTTATGGGTTCCATTGGCTGGAAGAAAGGGAGCAAAGAAGTCGCGGATAGCCTTGGCCCACTCTCCCCTCCTCCTGCCGCCCCACCTCCAGAAACCCGGACAAGGGCATCCAGTTCCTGATCTCGCGCGGCTTCATCCCTGACACCCCCATCGGAGTGGCCCACTTCCTGCTCCAGCGTAAGGGCCTCAGCCGGCAGATGATCGGAGAGTTCCTGGGCAACAGCAAGAAGCAGTTCAACCGCGACGTGCTGGAGTGAGTGCCCCCCGCCCCCCACTGGCTCCCTCCCTCCCTCCTTCCCCGCACACCTGCCCAGGGGCTCCTCAGGGTCCCGGGACCTCAGCAGAAGCAGCAGCCAGGGCAGGGCTCGAGGCCCCTGACGTATTGGCCATTTCCCAGAAACCCTTGCTCGAGCGCCAGCAGCTTCCTGATTGGCCCAGAGCCAGGCCCACGTGGCCTTTAGCCAATCACCGCGTCTTGACCGGCCTCTGTTTCTTCTCCAAAGTCACTCGTTCGAGGAGCGCGCTCTGCGCCGGGCTCCTTTGGAGCCACCAGAGGTGCAGAAATGGTCGAAGGAGACAGAAAGGCCTCCCTCTGCCACTCTCCGGGCAAGGGAACGAGCCTGGAAAAAGGGGGCTGTGTCCGGCTAGGGCCGTCTCGGCCCTCAGCCCACCCTCCCTCTGCCACCAGTCCGTCCCCCTGCAGGTCTGCCTGCTCCCCACACAAGCTTCTTTACATATGGTAGAAGCAAATGTGAGGCCGAAAAAAGGTTAGGCTGACAGGTGTTAAAGCAAGAAAATATTATGATTCCATAAAGATAGATTGACCGCCAAAATCACAACAATCAGAGAAGAATGTTTTAAAGTCCGATAGATGGGAGTGGAGGATGAGGGGGCTGCATTTGCTGGTGCTGGACTTTGTCAGGGTGGACTGGAGAGAGCCCCTTCCTACTGGTGGGGCAGGGGGCGGCTCTCCTCCGGGCTGACAGCAGGGCCTTGGAGCCGCTCCTCCCCTGGCCAAGAGGCCGTGGGGCCCTGGCAGTCTGCTCCAGGCCCCTGCCACTCCCCTGTTGCTCGTCTCTTCCACGAGGCCCCCTGAGCTCACTTCCTTCTGGGAAGTCACCATTCTGTAGGGAGCAGCCCCTACTTCTCTCCCCGCTTTCTCCTTGGGGACAGTTAGCAGAAGTGTTTTCCCAGGGGTCCTGGGAGAACCTCTCCCTTTTGTACTTGTCCCTGGAGCAGCAAGGGCCTGCTACAGAGAGCCAGGGAGCTCCTGACCAAGGGTTTGGAAGCGTGGGAGTCACCAGGCCTGACTGGAAAGGTCGTCAGCGTCCCTGGAGTGGGAGCTCAGAGGTCTGGTTTCTGTTTATGGAGCAGTCTTGGTGCTGTGCTAACCCTGCTCTCTGGGCCTGTCTGCTTGCCTGTAGAGTGGGGACTGGATTATGAGGGGTGGACCAGTTGCCCTCTGGAATGCCTGTCACCTTCCTAAATTCACTGATAGGGTAGCTGTCTAATGAATACAGTCGGAAGAACGGGGGCTTGGACCCTTCTGAGGGCTTTGAGATCCCTGGATGGCCCTTGGTCGGCAGAACCCAGTTCCTGCCTCTGACTCTCGGTGGCTTTGGGTGGTCTGCTCTCCCGCCTGGAGCTAGCGGTTGAGATGCTCCGAGTGCCTCTCAGACGGGGGTAAACTGATACATGCACAGTTTCCTTTTCGTCTCCTTTGCCCTCCCTCTCCTCTCCCTCTCCCCTGACCGCCTCTCTGTTTACCAGCCCCCTGCCATGTGGGGTGCCCTGAGGGGACGCCCTGAGGAGATGAGAGGAAGGGGAGAAAGAGCAGGTTTCCCTCTGCATCTGGCTCAACCCTCTGGCATTTCCCTTTACCGTTGTCCCTTCGCATTCTGGGAGGGTGAGTGGAGGTTGTGCCCTCCCACTCCATTCTTCCCAGCTGCCCCCCACCCTGGGTGACACTGCTCTGTCTCTCTGCTCTGGGGCAGGGATGACCACTTCACTCATAGGCCCTGACTGTCTGTTGTCTGTTCTCTTCTGCCTTCCACGGTCCCCGTGTGGCCTGGCCTGGAGTTCTAACCTGCCAGGCCACGTTGACCTGGAGTGCTGGGAACTCGTGGTTTCCCCAGCCCAGGCTGTGCTGAGCGGCACAGTGGAAGCTAATTGCCCTCCACCCTGGGAGACTGAGTGCGGGCTGGAGATTGAGACCAGCCTGTGCTGGGGAGGGGAGTGGGCTGGCCGCTGAGGCCCGGGTCAGCTTGGGAGGAGGAGGCAGTGTAGTGGGGTAGGAAAACGGCTGGACCTGAGCGAGAGGGCCCAGCTCTGAACCCTGGCTCTCCTCCCAACATGCCATGTTGCTTTGACAAGTCGCTTCTCCTCCAGGCCTGGGTTGGCTCATCCATAAAGCAAGAGGCTTGGACTGTGTGATCTCAAAGGTCCCTCCAACTCCTGTGAATCTGCCACCTTTCCCATTCCTTAGTACATTTGTAGCACACTGGCATCATGCAGAATCCTTTGCCCTAAACGTCAATGCCATGCGTTGTCATCCTGCCAGAGCAGCCCACAGGCTCCAGGGCAGGGCTGGGGGACCAGAGTTCATGGGGGAACAAGATGACCCTTCATCATTCATTCAACAAACATTGAGTGTCTCCCATGTGTTAGGAATGGGGCTGAGCTGGGCATCCCATGTATGTATGTGGGATCAGGGTAGGGGGGCCTGCACAGGGAGGAATAGGGATGGCTCATGGCCTCAGGAAACTTATAGACCCAGGTGTCAAAGGGGAGAAATGACAGGAGGAGCAGGGAGAGATCAGAGGAGCCTGGAAAGGGAGGTGAGGGGCCAAGGAGGCTGCAGCTGGCGTTGAGGGTTTGGGGAGGGTCGGGTGCAGGGCTGACCCCGACTGAGCCCAGGTCCCTCGTGCTTCACTCTGCAGCCGGGCGGGCCCTGGGCTCTGAGGCCCTGGCACACTCAGCCCTGCAGGCTGACAGCTCCACAGGGAGGAGCGCTCCTCCCCAGGTCTGCGTCTGCTGACCGCCTGTTGTCCCCTGCACAGTGCCAGGAGAAGGGCGAGAAGCAGGGAGAGGCAGGCAGGGGCAGAGAGCCAGGTGCTGGGGTGCTGGCGCTTCCCGCCATTCAAGCAGCTATCTTGGAACCTTTCAGGAGCTGCTGCCTCTTCCTCACTCCCACCAGAGAAAACACACAATAACAAAGTCACCTAGTGCCATTTTGCCCAGGGCTTCCAGGCTTTATTGGGATTCTACACGGCTCCCCTGCCCCCGCCCGGTGACATTTAGCAAGTCGCATCCATTCTATACAAAGCTGTTTGCTGAATAAAAGGACATAAATCACCCATCCCCTTGGAGACTGAGACAGCCTAAGCCACAGCATGCTCAAGATGCAGTCAGACAGGAAGAGGAGAGGCTGAAAGGCTCTAGGAGGGGAAGGGGCAGGACCCCCAGCCCTCCCAACCCCGGCCTTGGGCCTGTGGGGGACAGGAAAGGAGGAGGGGCTGAGCAGAATCTGCCTCAGCTGCTGATCCATGTCTGAGCATCACCGGTGCGGTGACATTTGCCTCCAGAATCAGGTCCTCGGCACTCTTAGAAGCTGACCCCTCCATCCCTCTGTGTCCTACGTGCTTAGAAGACATGTTCCAACAGCAATGTACTCAGCCAGGCTTTATCGAATAGTGACAGAAGGCATTCTGAGCTCAAAGGGCCGTGTCCATGTCAGAGTTTACCTGGGAAGGATTTTGGTTTTTTATTTGGGAGAAACCAGCCTCAGTTTCCTCATTTGTCAAGTGAGGATAATAGTACCTATCTCATATGAATTAATTTTTTAAGTGCATATAAAGTGCTTAACTCAGTGTCTGATGCTTACTAAGTTCTTTAAAAATGGTAGCCATTTCTATTATTATCTTTCCCACTTGAAAGCACAAGGCATTACAAGCACCTGCCCCCTCCGCCACAACACCTCAGGTCTGGTCTGAGATGGAATCTACTCCTCAGACGACAAGAACTTGCTGGGGCTTGCTAGGGAAGGAAGGGGAGCTCCCTCGGGGACCATCTCGTCCTCCAGGAAGCCTTCTGTGGTGCTGGGGAGAAAAGGGCAGTGGCGGGCCGGCAGCGGGAGCCAGACGCAGCCAGGATTAAGATGCTTTAGGGCTGGAGGCTTCTCCCTCTCAGTTTTCACATGGCTGGGAAATTTGGCTCTGCTCTATTTCCTCTCTGAAATGTTCGCTTCAGCAGGTTTGAAGGCCAGCGGATGGGGGAATGTTCCATGCGGGCTCTGAGCAGCCTCTCTTCTGGCCTGGGTGATCTTTTCCGGTGTGAATCACATGCACGTGGAGGGCATGGATGTCTGTCATTTCCATGGAAATACACCAAGGGCAGCGTTTGGGTTGAGCTGCCAGAAGAAAGTTTCCTGGCTCTTCCTTCTCTCACCGTGTCTACTCCATTCTTTGTTAGATATTAGAGTTTGACATTTTAGTCAGATTTCATTATTTTATTTCCATGGAAATGTGTTGGCCAGAGTGTAACAGATTTGTTCTTCTTAGGGGACATTCAGAAATGAAGACAGATTGTCTGTCAAACTCAACAGGCTGGAAGGCTCTGGCCTTTCATTACTAGGAAGATATTATCTGAGAATGTCCTGCCCACTGTGCTGTGTGTAACTTCAGAATAGTTGCCTTATTCCTGAGGAATTCCACAAGGAAGGGCAGAGCAGGCCTCATGGGTCTGGAGGAGGGTGGAAGGAGGCCTGGGGCAGGCAGGGATGGAAGACTTTGGGGTTATTCCCCCTGCTCTGCAAACTTGACACTGCCACCACCCAGAGGAATAGAAGGAGGGGGTCTCTTCTAAAAGTGATATCTTTGGGTTTTATGGCCTTGACCCCTCACTCTCCAGTTCCTTTCCCCCCATCTCCACCACTGCTGCCCCTCCTCCCCCACATTGATGGACAAGAGATTCTTCTTAATAGTAAAGAGACATTAGTGTTTAAGACCCACTTACTCCTGCATGTGGAGATCTTGGGACCCCACACGTGGGGTAAACAAATTCGGAGTGGAGCTCCCCTTGGCCTGGTCACATTAGCATATGTATTGGGCTTTTACACAAAAATGAACAGACCTTCCACCTGATCCCTTCCTGATTACTCAGGCCCTATCTCTCTCAATCCCTGTGTGATACTCAAGTATGGCTGAGACTGGGCAGTCTTTGAAGTGGGACTTCTTAGAGGGGCTTCCTGGGAGT